CACACTTCAGTCAAAAGATATACACATATTTGTGAAAATGCTATTAGTTTTCATTTAACCAACACAATCCTCAATGATCAGACACTATTGCAGCCAGTTTCACACTGCTATGATAAATAAAAAACGCACTTGTTAAAAAGTATTTTTAGGAAATAGCATGTGCTAGATTTTTGGCCAGACATTGTTATGTGGAATAATTGAAAAAAAGATGAAAATAAAAAAAAAGTGACAAACTCACAACATTCTTCATGATTAGTTTGAGATATTGGGAGATTGTACACAAGTAAACTTACCAAGCACTGCACAACACTGATGCTGCAGACTGAAAATTTCAAGTATTTATTTCAGTTCTTACAGTATTTCTTAGCATAATCAGTTACAGTAATTAACCAAAAATGAAATCAATGAAACAAATAATATCTGTAAACAAATTTCAATTACTGCATGAAGTACATACTTGACTCTGAAGAAAAACTAATGTACAAGCAACAAGAATATTGTAACTATTCAGTTACAGTATCAACCAGAGATTTGGTTGATCTCTTTGTCCAGCTTTCATCAGTGTCAGTCCATGGTTGATAACATGGTAACATGGTCAATAAGTGTTGCACGGATTTCTTGAGTCAAATTTGGCCCTCGTCTTCTTTGTTCAGGTTCTATCAACTCTTCAAGTCCTCTACCTAGGCCTCTTTCTCTATCTCCTTCTTTTCCTCTTCCTCTATACCTCTTTCTCCTGTTCTTCATCCTCTTCCTCTTTCTCCTCCTCCTCTACCTCCTTCATGTCCTCTTTTAGCTCCCCCACTCATTCTCACTCCTCTTCTTCTTCTTCTACATCCTTCTTTTTTTGTTGAAGACTCACATGCTGCCTTTTATAGCACACCTGAGTGCTGCGTTTTCAAATTAGCACATGTGTGCTTCCACACATGGTGGATGTGCATATCCAATTCGTTCATTAGTGTGGTCAATGGCAAACTGGGGCTTTGTAATGACAAGGAAGTAACCTCACAATCCTTATCTGTGTCTAAGGTGTGAAAATGTGTGTAGAGTTTTACAAATCACTGTGTGTAATGTTTGGCAAAAAGGGTGAAGTTGACGACGTGCTTACAATTGTGCAAATCTAGGCTGGTGTTTTGCTCCTTGAGTGTAAGGTTTGCTAATAGTGGGAAAGTTTTAATTTTAATTTTAGTGTGTAAGCAATTGAAAAAAACTGTAATAAAAAAAAAACTTAGGCTGTAGACAAACTGTAATTTCTTTTAGGAAGAAACAAACTTAATGATCAATCGTGACGTGTTAGAATCTGTATAACACTATCAAAAACAATAGCATAGTAACAGATGTTTCAGAATGAAATATGCCAAATACTGGCCAGTAGGAACAAGGCAGATGCTGTTTAGTTAACCTTTCACAAAGTCATCAAAAAACATTAATTGAAGCAGTGTTTCTAGTAGTCCACACCATTTTCGTCTTTCTTCTGTGGATTTCCTCAGGTCCTGACTGGTCAAGTTCAGATAGATCGTCAAATCGGCTCATTCAACCGCACACACCTCACGAATGCGAGCCGACAGCTCTCGAACTTTTTAGACATGCTTAAAAATGATCGGGGGGTCGAGAGGTGCTCGGCTCGGCATAAACGATTTACACGCTATTTCTCCCGAGTGAAAAAAAATCATCAAAAAATCATCTGTGAGCTCGTAAAACAGCAAAAAATCGCACCGTGTACGCCCGCCTTAATTGACTGACAGTATGTTGTGAATATTGTGTTTGATTGAGTTATGTATTGTTGCAATCATGCTGCTCTAAAACTAATTTATTGAACTTGAAGTTGAAGTTGAACTTGAAAATAGGTCCTCCGGGGGAGAATTGGTGTAACGTGACGTGAATTGAGACCTGGTGTAATTGGTTCTTCCATAGTTTATAACACCTGAGGTGTTTCCCATAGTGAGATACCAATCAGTTGTTTGAAAGAACCCACTCTGTGTGATCCTGGAGCGAGAAAAAACAGACCTTCTGACTTTAAAAAAAAAATGACCCTTGCAAAATAATACAATCCTGTTTCCATTCACATACTGTGGAACCTTGTTAACACAGAAGATCATGATACAAACAACTAAATGTCACGCAAAATATCAGCAATCTTTGAAAACTGCATGTCCAATCATCTCAGAGGACCTGAACTAACTGTTGTATAATGATTTTTCTTCAACGCCAGCTCACCGAAACAAAACACATTACAGTACATCTCAAAAGCTTTGTTTAAATTGCTCTCAGGATAAACCCAAGACTACTTTGTCTGAAGCGTCCATTAGAGTCGTCTCAATGCAAGCACCAGAAAACATTAAGAGACAGTGAGGCACAGTGTGTGTGTTAGTAGGTGAAAGAAAGAGAGAGCCGTGTGAACTTGTGTGCAAGTACAGTGGGAGAGGAGAGGGAGCCCTACTAGCAGCACTCAAATAAGAGAGAGGCAATCTTGCGCTGTTATGTATCCCTCAGCTATTTAACCCTGATGTCTTTCACTTTTATGTTTGTTGTGTACTAACTGCCTGTTATCGTGATTATAGGAAACACTGCACAAACATCACAGATTCCCTTTGCAGCAAAGCCTGTGCAAACTACACAACAAACCTGACCACAGATCCCCCACAAATAAACTGGTGAGTTTAACTCAATATTATGACAGATCACAAATCAAATGACAGTAACTAAATAAAGTATGTTTGTTCTTGAATATTTTCTCTAATTGTCTCAAATCTGTTTGTGTTTCTTTCTTGAAGGGAGTTAATATTTTGGGTGAATAGGAGAGTTCCTGTATGGGCAATACAGGTAGATTGAGATTTTTTTTTTTTTTAATATATATAAACCACACTCTTAAAAATAAAGGTTCCAGTTGGAACCAAAATAATTTTACAGTGTGACTTTAAAGTGAGATGTAATATAAATCTCAGTCCCCAGAGTGTGTATGTAAAGGCTCAGCTCAAAATACCCCACAGATCATTTATTATACCATGTTGAAAATGGCCATTTTTAAATGGAAGGATAGACAATGCTGTTTAAATGTGCTGCTGCTCCCCGTCGTTTTCCAGAAGAGGACGGAGCCTGTACAGCTCGTGCCTCGGATGCTCTGCCATTCTTTTTAACACTAGAAAAAGTCAAATTTACTGTTTTTATATGGCGAAAAAAAAACATATATGTCACTGTATTATACCCCTGTCTTAACAACGTAATGTGTAGAGTCATGAAATGATTATTTTTTAGTCATCAACGATGTTTTTGTCCTATTGTTTTACATTCAAGACTATTTTAAGCAAGCTACACTAATCACTTTTCTTAAAGGTGAATGTTTTCTAAACCAGCCTGCAATGACAATGGGAATTAGAGGGAAATAAATACATATTTGGGTGGTGTAATATTATGATAAAATGTAATTTATCACATATCAAGATAACATGTTATTTAAATTACTAAAATACCCTAAATAGACAATAAAGAGGAATGATAATTCACTACGCTACATGTATGATGCAACAACAAATTCAAGCGCACAGTTCCACCTAATTAATAATTCATTTGTTTAGTTATATCATTTATAATTGAAATAAGAGAACAACACAACTTGGGGTAACTATATAAGTTGTTTTATTCATTACATCATAGATTGGAAATATTTTTTTCAGGAAAACAGATACTCTTGAATAAATAGTAAATTAAATAATTATTCTTTAAACATCTTTATTTGAATGTGTTTTGTGTGACTGATTTCAGTATTCCTACACATTGCTCAAACACAGTTTTTAATCTGGTTTTATCTAAAAGAAAATATCAACAGGGGATTGTAAATAAACAAGTCAGCGACTGGGAGACTTAAATATTTTATCATAAATATGTTACATAAATTTGAATTACAGCTGTGGGTAAATCTAAATTCATAACTCATATATCAGTCCAAACTTCTGATATATGATTTTCTGAGTGCACACACCCGAAGCACCCACAAAGAAAGCTGGGTATCATTCTCGTTCATGCGTTGTAGACCTTAAACTGTCAAGTACACAGTGAATGTAAACAGCAAATAAAGAAATTGCATGTGTATTTTAGATCTGTGTATTAGAATGAAAGCAGCATAATATACAGTACCATTATATGCTGTTAATGTAAAAAAATCACTCACTGGTCTTGATTGAATTAACTTAAATAGCTTTAATAAGAACACATTTCTTACTTGAATGCTGCTGTAAAATGCTCTGGTGAGGAGATAAACATGGCGGACTGTATTCAGTTCACTCAGAGCGGGTAATAATAATAGGGCAAAGTAAGCATATTTAAGTAAAGTAAGCATATACTAAGCATATTTGACGTCACATATGCTAGAATCGGCAAACGGCTAATTATGGGGATTACAAAAAGAGAAGTGGGTGGATTTTTACCATAGGGTGGTTGTCTGCACACATTTACATTCAAACACCATATAAAAGTGAATTTTGCATAATAGGCCCCCTTTAAAGAACATTTTTACACTGTAAAACAAACCTTAAAAATATATTCTTAATTCTTGTACTTATAAGTAAATATGAAGAGTTCAGATGCAAAAGCCTCTAAGTGCCATTTGAAATTTTCTTCTAGAATGATCTTTTTATCAAGCTTATATATTCAAGTTCAGTAATTTCACTTAAATGACAATTAATAGGTAATCTTCATTGCAATTTAAGTGAAATTATTAAACTTAACTATACAAGCTTGATAAAAATGATCATTCTAGAAGAAAATTTCAAATGGCACTTAGAGGCTTTTGCATCTGAACTCTTCATATATATATGTAATATATTCATTTAAAAAAGGGGGTTTAGAATCAGAATCAGTTCATATTTATATATTAGAAACAATATAAATATTAGACGCCTCCAGCAAAATAATTCCAAAGCAAGTGTGATAAGAGCTATTTCTCATTAGACTCTGATATTGATACTCTGCTAATCAAAATTATGATTATGTTTCCTGCACCACAGGTGACAGTGGCCTTAATTAGCTTCTTGCAAGCAATGCTCCTGGTGTATCTCAGCTATAAGGTAAGATTATTGTCATTATTATTCTGCCCCTGTGAGCTTTCTATCCACTGATTTAAATTAAATCTGACCATTTCAGCTCCTCTTGTGCTGCTAGAGGGTGCCTTTGTTTCTTTATTTTCCCTATAATGGGAAGTGTTCTTCTCTTTTAACAGAAAAAAAAAAAAACTTCTCTAACCTGTTTTTCTATTTCTTCATTGATTTATCAAGAAACAGCTTTTTTTCTGTTGTTGGGAGATGAAAGTAATCTTTGTTGTGATTAAAGGCTGAATCCCAGTTTGACCACTTAATGTATATTATGCTTAGGCTGCATATACTTTTCTGGGAAGTCAATAGATGTCTGATATATACATAGTTGTCTCTGCGCACACAGTAATATTGGGATATAAGACAACTTGTACATACTTCACATATAAACTGGCATGCTATTAAAATACATTAAAATCCACACACAGCAAACTATTTACAATACAAGTACAGTCGACTATTATCACACTGTAATTTGGGATGCACTAATTCCAATTTGTCAAATACTGTTTATGAGAGATTTGCAGTATTTGAATTAGGATGCAGACTATTTTTGTGTTCTGATTTTTTTTTTTAACATCCATTTTAGTACTCTTTGATTCTTCTGCAGTGTAACTTATATTTATTTCATTTCTAGGGGAACATTTGGGAGCAAATTTTCCAAATCTCCTTTATCATTGAGATGATCAATACAGTGCCATTTATAATTACAGTAAGTAATGAAGGTTCTGGTGGACACAGAAAAACATATCAGGTTGCTGCCTTGTTGATAGTAATTTTGAGCTCTGTTATATTGTTGTGATTGAGTGTAATTATATAAGTAGCCATTGATACCTGAATGTCAGCCGTGAAGGAATAATAATAACTTAAATGTAACAATTAGCCAAGTAACAAATCATGAGCTTAGAATTATAAGGTTATATCTCTGTTTAGGGTAGTTCTGAGATATTGAGCATCAAAGTTTTTACATCCCAGCTGGCAAAACTGTTATGTAGTATTATCTTCTATTATAGCTTTATCTATTAATCTTTTTATTTTTATTTTTTTTTTTTTTACAAAAATAACACCACACAGGCATTAATAAACACCTAATGGATCAGATTATGTCAAAAACTCGATTTCGACCAAAAGTTGAGATAGAACCTTATAATTCTAAGCTCACGAAATAGCAATTTTTTGACCTGCAGTCCTTGGGAAATATAAGTTGTTTATTTATTTTGTGCTAATGGCATTACAGATGTAAAAGCTATGGAAAGGCACACAGCTTTTCTATTATAATTACTATAATTATTATTTTTATTTTTTTTTGTAGATCTTTTGGCATCCACTAAGAAACATATTTGTTCCTGTGTTTCTTAATTGCTGGCTTGCCAAATCAGCGCTGGAGAACATGATTGTAAGTAGCCTGTGCAGCTGTGTAGTGCATTTACATGCCTGCAGGACATCTTATTAGGTGTCTTAGCAGAAAAACATTAGTGTTGTTTGAGGATATTGCTGTGTTGGGATGCTTTACATCAATATGCACTTGACAAATGAAAATGCATCATCAATGGGCAAAATCTGAGAGGGTGCCAGCATTCCCTTCCCTGCCAGATGGTCAGGTCAAATTGCCAGAGAAAACCTGGCAGGGGGAATGTCCTTTAACAAATGCTTTAAGTAGAGATATTAGTAAAAGAGAATGCCTACAACCACTAAAATGTGACGCTACCTTGAAGATTTGTCTGTTTTACCCCCATGCGTTCCTAAAATTCCCCTTTTTTTAATTACCAAACTAAATAAAGGAGCCATTTAAGTCCTGATCCCTTGGCAGTGTAATTAAAGGTAGGGTCTGCGCGCCAGGGTGGAGGTATGGAAATAAAACTAGAGCCAGACCGATATATCGGCAGACCGATATTAGGCATTTTCCAAACTATCGGTATCGGTAGTTATAATGGCCAATAATTTTTTTTTTTCAAAAATAGCATAAAAACAGACGAAACACGCTTGAACCATGTCATGAGTGTTGGAGTTGTATAGTTTGTCCATCAGAGGGCACTCTACACCGTTCCTGTTGGCAACACTCGTTGAATTGTTCACGATAGATACATTGCATGAATAACAATTAAAAGATCATCCCCATCAGTTCTCTTAACTCAAATAGGCATGACAAAATTTGTGACTATCATGTCCAGTTTAAAAAATATAAAATAAAATAAAATATCGGAATATCGGATTTTAAAACCCAAAAATATTTGTATCGGTATCGGCCTTCAAAATCCTTTATCGGTCGGGCTCTAATACAAACGTTGACAGGCAGGTAGGACATCGTATCATAGCATTCTGTCATTGCATTGAACGGACATTCTTTTGTTCCTGAGACTTTCACAGGAGTGATACATGTTTTAATATTCATACCACTTCTATTGTTGATTGTTATCAGGATGTAAACAGTTTCAACCAGTATAACAAAAAGTGTTTATACAATAAATGCCTACCCTACCTTTAACATACATGTAGCCTATTTTAACGATCTGAAACGCAAGTATCAAGCGCAATTAAGCCCAAGTAACTCTGTGGGTGGGTCTTGGGCGCTGTTGCTATTTTACCGGCGGGATAAATGACTTTTGCGCCCGACGCAAGTTTAAAAGGGGTTATTATGAAGTAGTTTTATTATTCATAGGTGTGGTTTGGGCGTAACGGGAGACAAACCAATAAGAGCATCATATCACATTCCCTTTAAAGGGTAACTAAACCCCTGGTCAGAGCCTGACTCCACCCACTGGCAATATTTGAAAAATCCTGAAAAAGTGGGCAGACCCCAGCGGAGATAGAGGGGACGAATATAGATGCTAAAACACTCTATCCTGATCATTTTCAATTCTCGCAATTCCAACTCCTGACTCGCTACGGTGGTTTTGACGAAACAAGCTGGTTTTTATACTGACGCTCGTACGAAGAGCGTGGTGAGCTGAAACCTGCGTATGTCACGAAGTGCGGAACATCCATTAGGAAAAATCAACTGCAGTAGTCACCGTTCAACCTGAAGAGGGCAGCACTAAGACATTTTTACACCTTATATTGTAGAAATAAAACACTTTATACACAAATGTCAAAAAAAGTTACTAGAATCAATGACTGGTATTAATAAAGATCCATTCTTACAGATCATTAACTAAAAAAAGTTGGTTTAGGGTTTAACTCTTTAAAGGACAAGTTCGGTATTTTACAATTAAAGCCCTGTTTTAAGATTGTCCCTGATGAAATAGAATAGTTAAGATTGTTTTTTAGACAGATGCTCCTGTCACGAGAATTTTTGGATTCTGTGTTAGCACCCCCACACCTTTACAATGGTAGCATAGGTGCACTCGAACAATCATTCATAAAAACGCATAAAACTTTAGTTTACAAAGACGTGAAACTCACCGAGTGGTCTGGGGTGTTCACTGATATGCTCACACAAAAATCGCTGCAAAATATGCTTTCCAACAAGTTTTATCGTAGTTTTTGTCCGACTTCATTTTCTTCCTGTTTTCGGTCGAAGTCCACAGCAATAAATTGTCGAGTTCACGTGCGCGATCATTGGTAACTAGATAACTAAGGATCGCGCACGCAAAATCGATAATCGACTACTGTGGACTTCGACCAAAAACAGGAAGAAAATGGACTTGGACAAAAACTACGATAAAACCTGTTGGAAAGCATATTTTGCTGTGATTTTTGTGTGAGCATATCAGTGAACACCCCAGACCACTCGGTGAGTTTCACGTCTTTGTAAACTAAAGTTTTATGCGTTTTAATGAATGATTGTTCAAGTGCACCTATGCTTTCATTATAAAGGTGTGGGGGTGCTAACACAGAATCCAAAAAACTATCTTAACCATTCTATTTCATCAGGGACGATCTTAAAACAGGGCTTTAATTGTAAAATACCGAACTTGTCCTTTAAGAGCATGATGAACACGGTGCGGTTGTTCCATGGCTTGTTCCATTTTTACACTATATTTACACTACACAGATTTTGCTCGATTAAGGTCAGAAATATTAGAATATAGAATATTTAATTGTGTAAGGAGCACTAGACCTGATAATGAAGCACTAGACCTGGAAAATAAGTTCTTTTTAAAGCAGGCTCTTAAATAGGCAGACTTTTTTCAGAACTGGGCTTTCACAGATGCCTGCATTGTGTGCGTGTTATTCTTGTATTCTTGTCTTTGCTTAGTCTCTTGACAAAAGAGATCTCTCTCACTTATCTCTGTTACTTTCTAGAATGATCTCCATCGTGCCATTCAGCGCACACACTCTGCCATGTTCAACCAAGTCCTCATTCTGATCTGTACACTGCTCTGTCTGGTCTTCACTGGGTAAAGCTCTTTGATCTCTGATATCCCTGATGGGGCTTCAACTTTTTACAGGCTTGTATCAAATTATGCAGATCTGAAACAGTCACATGGTTATGAATTAACCCTCCTGATCAATAAGGTATATCAGTAAATTCAAATTAACTCTTTTTTTTTAATAGTGTCAAAGCAAGATGTTTCAATTTTTTAGGAATATTAAACGAAATTTACTGAGTATTTCATATAGCACAACAGGCACAGCTCCCCTTTTTCAGAAGTCTGGATTCTGGAAGTATTTTCCCATGAATCTTTTTGGTAGGAATTTACAAAGATCCTTCGTAAAGAGATGTAAGCCATAAAGTATCCAGCTCTGAGGTGAATCACAAACTTTGTTTTAAAGGTGCCCTCTGGGATAAAAAATCAAATCATACACCATATTCCATACCAGATGGGGGCAGTATACCTCCAGAAAAATACCTCCGCGGCCGCGCGCACTCATGTCTTCAAACAACACGGGCGAGCGCTGTGTTGCTCTGTCTCCCTCGTGCATATTAATCAAATCAGTTGACACGATAGTAAAAGGTTGGAAGACCGCAGTTTCACGTGGATCATTTGGAGATTTTCAGAGATTAGAGACTAAATGAACAACATCTCAATACTAAATTATAAAGGCCGTCTCAGAGAACAAGCCGGTGCATTTCGACGATATGGGAAAATTAAAGCCCAGGCATTTCTAGTTTATGGTATTCGTTTTGTTCATGTTACAGGACATTTTTATCATTAATTTGAATTAATTTGACAGACAGCATTCCCTGATGTGGACCAAGCTAGCGTCTTTCAGAGCTGCCAACTCACACAAATTCACCGTGAGACACAACTGATACTTTTCACACACTCTCACGCCACATCCATTTTGTCATGCACAGAAAAGGACACGGACGCCGATCTCAGCTCTCAGATTCTGTTCATTTTATTACGCAATTCAAACAATAAATGCAGTTTTGGCGCTTGTAAATGTTAGACGACAGATCCCTAGCGCACGTGAACCGATCATCTCTACTAGCTAATGGTAAAAGAACACGAACACTGTTGAAAGATACAGTATTCTACAACTTACCAAAATGTATTCCTCATGCATAATATCGACCAATCATTTATTTAACTCATCCCTGAACTGAAATTTAGTAGTGGGCTGTATTTCCACACGACTGACATCAGGTTCAAGTACACACAAGCCGCGCGAGTTACTCGTCTATTGCAGTTTGGCTGGTGGTAATGTTGCCCGCCCGCATACCGCCTCCCATGGCCGAAACTGGTATTACGACACCTGCCGGGCCGGGGCTAGTAATTTAGCATGCTAATTTAGGTTTATATCTCGGCAGCACTATAACTTGTCAGTTTTTTAATGACATCATTGCACTTATTTCTTCTCATTCTTTTGATGTGTGTAGCTCGTTTTTTGGATATTTTTACCTCAATTATTCCATATGGCACCTTTAAGCAAAAGGTCTGAGAAAAAGACAAAGGTGCAAGACTGTGAAATGAACATCTTTTATAATACAATGTGGGTCACCAAGCACATGAATTACATGAAAATAAATAATAGTTTATTGCAAAATAGTCAATTATATGATATGCATAAATTGTATACATACATAAAAAACAGAATCCAAAGAATCCCAAAATTAATCTACTTTGTACATGTTTTACATTTTCCGTAAAAATCTTAAGGAGCAGAACTGTTTTAAACATTGATAATATTTGAATTATTTCTGAAGGATCAAGTGACACTGAAGACTGGATAATGGCTACTGAATATTACATTTTAAAATATTTTCAAATAAAATAACTGTTATTTTAAATTGTAAATAAAATGTCAGTAAAATACAATGGTTTTTATTTAAGTATATAAGTCTGTCTGAACATATATACTTTTATGTTTAAATAAAACATTTTCAATATGGAGAATGCAAATGTTAGGCCTATTTTTGAACCCAGCTGTTCCAACATTCTTTTTGAGTGCATAGGAAATGATGGGAACTCTTAAAACTTGAAGTCAAATTCTGTTGCTTTTCAACAAAGTGTCTTTTACAGGCCTTTAATTAACCTCATCATGGTATTATCCTCACTAGCCTATATTTTATTCTGTATTAGCATATATTTGCATATTTGACACCCTTTTACAAATACAAAGGGACATGTCAATAAAGTTCTTAAGGACTATAACTCAATGTGAGTTTACATGATGAATCAGAAAACGTTTATAGTCCTTACATATTTACATAATTAATTCAATTGTTTGTTTGTTTTTTAAATTCCCTTTTGACGTATGACTGTGTCAATTTGTTTTGTAGAACAAAATGGGAAAGGCTCTTGAAATAATGCTAACCACAGACCTCATTTTACTCAAATCGAAAACCGCTATTTTAAAAATTCCTGAGGGAGCCCATGGTGAAATGGCCTTCTGGGCAAGCTTACAAATTGACATCGTGACTGAGCAGCTCTACTGAATTCTATTCATGGAATGTCTTTCCAACTATAAAGTCTCAAATTTATTTGAAGTAATGTACATTTTTGAAATTGTTTCCTGAAATGATTTGTAATGCTCCTTAGGGCTTGTGGGATTCAGCATCTGGAGCGGGCAGGAAAGAGTCTCACCCTCTTCGACTCTTTATATTTCTGCATCGTCACCTTCTCGACTGTTGGTTATGGAGACGTCACACCCAAAATCTGGCCCTCTCAGCTACTGGTGGTCATCATGATCTGTGTGGCTCTGGTGGTGCTGCCATTACAGGTGCCACAAACAGCACAATCAGCTACAGATTCTGAATTAATGTTCTCTCTATTAACTATGACTTTTCACTAAATAAAGTAATTACTGCTTATTTATGAGTACATTTAAACTGCTACAGTAAATGGATGGAGATCCAACCTCGCTGAGCACTTTTTGCTTTTATTTTTTTAGATGATTGAAGCAGAAATGAGTGGTACTAGTAAACGTGTACTGCATTTACACAGTACTTGCTTTCTCTCTCTCATTTCAACACCAGTTTGAGGAGCTGGCGTATCTTTGGATGGAGAGGCAGAAGTCAGGTGGAAACTACAGCAGACACCGTGCTCAGACGGAGAAACATGTGGTTCTCTGTGTCACTTCACTCAAAATAGACTTGCTCATGGATTTCCTCAATGAGTTCTATGCCCACCCGAGACTACAGGTACATGCATAAACCTGTATATGTGACTGTTTATTACTGTTCTGTGTATTGCAAATATGCCAAGCTAGCTTAGTGTGTGATGGTGGTATTAACATTTCTCAAATGTCTAGGATTATTATGTGGTGATACTCTGTCCCACGGAGATGGACCTCCAGGTTCGGCGTATTCTGCAGATCCCGCTGTGGTCTCAACGGGTCATCTACCTCCAAGGCTCTGCACTGAAGGACCAAGATCTGATGAGGGCCAAGTAGGTTGTTCATTTGGTCACACTTTAGTTTAGGGACCAATTCTCATTATTAACTATGACTTGTGCCTCAATAAACTTCTAATTACTGCTTAAATGGATAGTTCACTTTGAAATTAATTTTTGATATGTTTTAGCTTTCCTCAAGGGCATCCAAGATGTAGGTGTCTTTGTTTCCACAGTATTTTCAATTTTGATATTTTTAGGTCAAACCATTCTTGTCTGTCAGTCATATAATGGAAGTCTATGGGGATCTCCTAAAAGAGCATGCACAGAGAAGTCCAAATTAAACATGATTCAATGACTCATAAATATAAGTACACATTGATGGCCTAAGAGTCACGCACAAGAACACCGTTGCAACGGCTGTTTTTATTTCTTTACTGATCTCCCACTTCTGGCGAAGTGATTTTTTTTTTTTTTTTTTTTTTTTTTTTATGGGGTAAAGGACACGCTTCTTTATGAATGTTAATACCGGAAGAAGCAAGAAGACTTAGGGATAGTTCACTTTGAAATTAATTTTTGATATGTTTTCATTGTTTTCATCAGTCATATAATGGAGGTATATGGGGTCCACCTTGAAGAGCATGCACAGAGAAGTCCAAATTAAACATGATTTAATGACTCGTGAATGAAAGTACACATTGATGGACTAAGACACGAAACGAGTGGTTTGTGTGAGAAAACGAACAGTATTTATATCATTTTTACCTCTTGTAACCACAGCCACTGAGTTGAAATGTATTCAATGTAATCACATCTCTTCTTCCACAAGTCATTTGATTTAAACCGATTGTATCTAACCTTGTGTTGCACAAAACTCAGGTTTTGTCCCATGTAAAACAAAATGTCAAACAATGTACTCTTTCACACAAAACAAAAACAGTATTTCTCTTTTATTGACAAAAAAAAAAAAAAGAAGTAATGACTCTTAGTGAGCCAGGATCGAGAACAAAGATGACAAAAAAAAAAAAAATGAGGCATGTAAACCATGGTCTTAAAGTGTACTTTTTTAAATCAAAGTCACCTTGCAGTTAGTTCAGTTCAGTTGAGGTTCTGACTCTGTGTCTAAGTCTATGAGAGAGCCATTAAGATGACAGAGAGATCAGTCTAATATCTGCAAATTGATCTGTACAGCTGCAAGTGATTTCATCCTTTCAAGCCCTTTTTAAATACATTAATACATAATACTATGACTAAATTACTGAGAATTTACCTCTGAATTAATAGTGTCAGAGACCATAATTTCTCTTGTTGCCTGTCAGCGAGAACTCTTTTGCATTCATCAGTATGTCAAGAGTTGTATTCGCCAAATATATTTAAGGAAAGGAGATGGTGTGCAGTTCTTTAATTGAACAGTTTTATTTTGAACAATATTACCCTGTTGCCTATCAAATGTAGACATCAATAGTACAACTTGCAAGAACGGTATTTAAAACAGCAATTGTGGCAGACGGATTTATGTCTCACTATCAAGGGCAATGCTTCACCGGTAAGGTTTGGCCTAACGCCGTGCTAAGCAGTTTAGCTAAATTCAATTAGCAAAATCTCATTATTCTCAGTGAAAGACAACTTTTGTTTCCGGCAAACATCTAAGAGAGAAAGAGCTGTTAGTAAACTTGAGTCATAAGTATGATGTCATATTTTAACAGTGATATACAGTGCATCAATGTGTCTTTTCTATAATTTAAACTAGCGTAGGCCTACTGATTAACTGTTTCCAAATGGAAGCGTTGGACAGGCTCCCAAAAAAACTAAATTAGTCTGTGTGGAAAACTGAAGAGTAAACCTGCAAGCTCCTCCATCAGAGCCAAATCTGACACCAGTCTCGAGCCCATCTGTTCCGTATTAAAGCAGCCTTGAAATTTAAGGATAATATATGTGCTTTTTCTTGCAATGTAACTGCATTTAAAATCTACCATATTCCTTCATTATAAACGTAGCAAATCTGTCTCAATATACTTCGTATTCCAGTGCATGAATTTCTCATAAAACTCAGTCTGTCTGAAGTTTCCTGGCCGGTTGTGTAATCTTTGCGTTGTAATTGGAAGGTTGGAAAGTAAAGGACTTCTTGAGGAGATTGCTTTTTTTGTTGTTGTTAAAAGTCTCTGTTAAAAAAAAGGCTTTCTAATTTTCAAAATGTGTTCGTTGCTGCAGCATATTGCTGGATGAATTATGCATGTTGTGAGTGCTTTAATTTCTTTTGCCAATAGGAATTCCTCACGGTACAGAATGTCTTTCACCTTGTTTTGTCTTTTAACAATCGAAAGCATCTGTGACTTGTCCAAAAGTCAATGTCGATTTTTTTTCTAGCTGTAATTTACTCAATTGAAGTCTATACGATCAAGCATTCCCAAGGCTTTAAAAGCAGAAATGTGCACTGCAGCTCATATTTCTAAAGCACTTGTATTAAAGTGCCGTGAATCTTGCCATTTCAGCACAGGTCAGTTGTCACCAAGGAGTTATGGTTTTGTTGTTCAGAATTGTATTGCAGTTTTCCCCTACTGCTAAACTTTAACTACACCAGCTGCTTCCCAAAACAAAAATGACAATTCAAAACTACTATAAATACTATAATATAAAACTGATTATATATCTACACATGGTGTTCATCTCTAATATTGTATTGTAGCATAGTCAATTTTCCTATGCCTGGTCAACCCGGTCTCATCCCAAGACGTCATATAACTGACGTTGAGGTTATGGGATCCTAACTCTACCCCATACCTAAACCTAACCCTAAACCTAACCCGTCACCTAACTGACGTTAAAGGTAAAGCGTCAGTTGTATGACAGCCCGGGATCGCCATCTACCGACGTTTAAGGGGGCCCTAAAAGGGGGGATATTGACGTATGGTCAAAAGACGTCCCAAGATGTCAGTTATATGACTTTTTGGGATGAGACTGTGTTAGCCTGGTTGTTTGTTGGGCTCTTAAAATCAGGACATGGATTTATAATTTCCTTGTCTGCTGCTTCACAATGACTGTTGTCATTATATAATTTCCCTGCAGCTTCAGAGAGATTATTCACATCACAGTTTTATTTGCTTTACATTCCACAAACAGGTCATTTTTTGTAACTGTAATTTAATGCACCAGTAAATGCAGAGCTGTTACATTTGCACCCTATTTGAATGTGTGATTTAGCATTTTAAGTTATTTCTGAGTCTGTTAATTCACAATGTGGATTTACAAATAGAAGTTGTCTGATCTGTTTACACAGAGATAGTGTTTGTGATGCTGAATTTAGCAGTGTCTTGTGGCTGTACTTTAGATTACACACAGTATTTTATTACATCTGTCCTATTGCATTTGCTTGTTTTTACAAACTAAGGGCTAAAAGATGTATTATGGCTATTGACAGCATGTCAAAGTTTATGTTTACTTGGAACCTTAAACGCGTCCTGAAAACATTAGGAGTGGGGAAACCGGCAGAATGTTAATGCCAAACACTCTTTGTCAATGAGAAAGAAATTTCTGCTATAGTGACTATAGTATACCGTGAAATTGACCTGCAGTATTGACTGTCTGTGAGTAACATGGCAATAATTACCTATCACCAGCACATTCATACATACATATACTGTATGTGCAGTCCTTCTTGAGGAATTCACTTTATGGGTAGTATAAATAGAAGATAGCATAGTGAAATGTCCTTTCTGAGTGACACTGATGTGTCTTGATGTTGTGTTCTGCAGGATGGACGATGCAGAGGCGTGCTTCATCCTGAGCAGCAGAAATGAAGTGGACCGCACCGCAGCCGTAAATACAGACTTTTTATAGAGTTCCTTGCCAAAAGTCAATAACAACAAGTCAATAAAGAAATACATTTTCCCAGGCACAAGACAAGAAACCCAATTATTTTGATCAAAACAGTATTCACTTTTTATTCATTTAATAGAAAACTTAATGATAGAAACTTGAAATTTTAAATGGAATCCAATGGAATCTTAAAGAGAGAGAAACTTGAAGCCTATCTTATTCATACTTTCAAAGTTCAAGTTTTTTTTTTAAATCAAATTGTAGGCTTACCCATTATGACACTTATAGCATGAATTTTAGTCTGCCTATATGGTGTTTTTATTGTTTCTCTTCATATAAAAAAATACATCAACTAATGTTCCTTAAATTAATCTACCATTAATGGTATAATGAAATGAATGTATGTTTGCACATCATCATATAAGAATGCAGTCTGTTCGTATAGGATCATCAAACCATTCTGCGAGCCTGGGCTGTGAAGGACTTTGCTCCAAACTGTCCTCTATATGTCCAGATTCTTAAACCTGAGAATAAATTCCATGTCAAATTTGCAGGTGAGTCTTTTGCCTTCTTGAGGTCAAATCATTTCATATGCAGTTTAGCAAGCATTCATCCGTCCTTCACAAATCTAATTCGGATCTTTTTTCATAGTCATGATTTGTGACCAATATGTCCTTTAAATTTATTTTCATTTTATATAGTCAATTTTACTTTTTTACTGAAAAAGCAACTATTTTTTCAAACATTTAAATATATTTTGATTGATTAACATAAAATACATCAATAAAAGGGTGAAATGTAAAAACTGTCCTGACGAGTAGACATGGGCGTATGTCTATCAGCCATCTGTTAGCAATTATTGTGGTATATATGTTTGTAGCTTGTGTGTGTTTGCTGTATGAATAATATCCTTCTGGATTCGACACTCTCCGCCTCCCAAGTCATGCATCCTCATTGGAGTCTTTCATAGTTATGAGTTTTCACTTTGTAAGTGTAGCACTGCCTCCACCTCTCGGGTCACTGCATTTGCATTTGCATGTTCTTTTAGCAGAAGAAGAGATGAAGTGTTAGGGGGATTAATATGCCCCTTTGTGTGCTATTAACCACGTGTTCATTTAAACACCCTAATAAAGGTCAGTAATGGAGAATGGAGAAAAAATACTTTTTATCCATACAGAATTTTTGTTTTATGTGAAAATGGTCTTGACAAATTAGTCAGAAGTTAGTACTGGTTGTGATATTAAGATCAGTATTTAGTAAATGTAAGAATATGCTTTTAAAGGATCTTTTTGGGATCTGAAAACAGTGTTATTATGGTAATGATGGTTAATGTTTTATATATACTTAGCGTCATTTAAAAAAAGTCCAGTTAACTTTGTTAATCGCTTTTTCTGCATCTAAAGCTTAGAAAATGATTTGTTTTCCTAGATATACTGTATGCATTACATTAAAATTATAATGTCTCTCATTTGAAGAGTGTCTGCCAGTAATGAAACCAATTTGGTCTGAGTAAATAAGATTCAAGTCTGGGTGTTAATGCTGTTCTGATGATGTTGATGCCATGTTGATGAGTGATATGGGGTGGCAACGTTGGATTTTTTAATTTTAATTTTAATTTATTTATTTATTTATTTATTTTTCAGCTTTAGAAGTTCTGAGATTAGGGCAGTTCACAAGTGTGGTGGAACTGAGGTGTTTTTAATTTCATTTTGTTTCCGGTAAAAGTGTGTATAGAATTCAGTACGAACTCCGTCTGTGCTTGGAGCTTTATTATTTTTTAATAATAGAGTTTTTTTTTATTCATTTATTTTTGAGAGAACATCAAGTGTTTCAACCTGATTATTATGTAATATTGAAAGTGAGACTGAATTTAACAACATATTTACTGTGTGTGTGTGTGTGTGTGTGTGTGTGTGTGTGTGTGTGTGTGTGTGTGTGTGTGTGTGCGTGTGTGTGTGTGTGTGTGTGTGTTGTGTGTGTGTGTGTGTGTGTGTGTGTGTATATATATATATATATATATATATATATATATGAAGAGTTCAGATGCAAAAGCCTCTAAATGCCATTTGAAATTTTCTTCTTTAATGATGATTTTTATCAAGCTTGTATGTTTAAGTTCAGTGATTTCACTTAAATGGCAATGATAATTACCTATTAATTGTTATTTAAGTGAAATTACTGAACTTAAATATACAAGTTTGATAAAAATCATCATTAAAGAAGAAAATTTCAAATGGCATTTCAATTTCAGACAGACTTGGATGCGATTAATCGCAATCAATTTTTGCACATATATATATACTACACACTTTGCCGTCATATTAATAAGTGTATATAATATTATATTATATTATTCTCACATAGATTATGTGTAGGTATGTTTTGTTTTCTAGATCATGTGGTGTGTGAAGAGGAGTTCAAGTATGCCATGCTGGCCCTCAACTGTGTGTGTCCAGCCACCTCTACACTGGTCACACTGCTGGTGCACACGTCTCGTGGACAGTGAGTACTGATGTCTTTACTCGTTCGTTTGACGACTGATGTATGAGAAGTGTTTCCTGAAATGCTGTTTAGTTTATTGAAGGATTTACTAATGAATAATGGCTCCTCGCTTAACCTTTCCAATTCTGTGATCCCTAACAAATAATAGTGCCTCAAGTAATTAGTCAGAGCAGATTTACCCGGAGAGCCGATCAATGGCATTAAACTTTATGTGATCATTTGTCAGAGCGAGATTGACTATGCGGTCACCTGAACTTGCTGGGTAAACCATTTCATAAAGAAAACTCAAATGATCCGACAATAAATTCTTACTTTTTTTTGGAGTGTTGTCTTCTTAGCGCTTGCATTTTAGTCTGTTTGGGGTTTCAGGGAGGGACAGACTTCTCCAGAACAGTGGCAGAGGACTTATGGCCGTTGCTCGGGGAATGAAGTTTACCACATCCGTTTGATGGACAGCAAGTTCTTTGGCGAATATGACGGGAAGAGTTTCACTTACGCCTCCTTCCATGCACATAAAAAGTGAGTGATTGCTGAGCATTTAACATTTATTTAGATGCACTATTCACTACTCGGATGTATATGGAATTATTATTTTATAAACGCTTAGAAAAATATGACATATTTTTTGTGCCTCTTGATAAATGTTCTTTAAAAACTCATCAATCTTGATTGAGCATGCTTGTATTTTTCACATTTTCCTGTTCCCCTGTTTTGCACACTACTGTTTGAATTTTACACCGTTTTGAATTGTATTATTTATATTATTTTACTTACACTACCTTTGATATTGATTTTTTTTAAAGTGTCATATGCAGGGATGCAATTATTTGATAAAAAATGCACTGTAAAAATCTTAAAACTTAATTTACTTTATTAGGTAACACTTTATTTGAAGGGGTGTGCATAAGATGGACATGACACTGTCATAAACATGACATAACACCTGTCATGAACATGAAGGAGTCTTTATGAATGTTTATGAAATTTTATGAATGTTGTCATTAAGTGTCATTCGGTAAATTATGACACTTTTAATGCAAAGTTGACATTGTTTAAAATGTCTTTGTTATGACAACTTGACATTAACAAAGACAAAAAAATGTCTTTTGTGTTAACATTATATTACCCTGTCATATGTTATGGTTGGTTTTAACTTTGGTTGTCATGACACCATTATAACTGCGACATGAATATTTTACTTGTCCTCAGTAAAGTGGAGCACATTGTACTAGTTATAAAAATGTCATTAAGGGTTATTACACTGTCAAATGCTTTAACAACAGTGTCATTAATATTTCCCCTTACCTCAAGTAAAGTGGAACACGTTACATTACTCATGTATTACTTTTGAGTTACTTTCACCAAACTAACTAAGTAGAACTTAACTTTTGGGCTGTAACGATATGCAATATGAAACCGAAATCGCGATTCGCCACACGACTCAGATCCACGAACCTACAGAATAGCGACACACCTCTTCCAACTCCAGCGTTATTCTCCTTACCGTCCAGATCCACTGCTGCCTTATCTTTAAATTAGGCTATTAGTATTAACATTATAAAATATGTAGACCTACACCACAAAACTAGTTGAGGATAAATTATTTAAAATTGGGGAAGTCCAGCATTATGGACATGACATTTGCTGTCAAAACTTGAAATAAAAATTCTATATATATATATATATATATATATCTAGTATATAGGCTACTTCCTTGAAGGACTCCAGACATTAGACAAATATCAGTCTGTTTTATTTTTAATATTAGGGAAAAGACACAGATTCATGCGTGACAAAAAAATAGGAGGCAAAATCGATTTTTGTAATTCTGTTAATTTCACTGCGCAAATCGGATGAGGAAGGGTTGGCTCTCCAGTCTCCATAGAACTTAAAATATTCATTTTATTTTAGTTTTCGTGTTCGCATTTATGAGGAAAAAACAATGTTACAGACGCGACCGCTTTGAACTGGCACTAAAAGACTGCTTTAAAACTTTCACATAGTCTGTTGCCTTTAAGAAGTAAAAGCAGACAATACACTGTAATACAACTGTAATACAAGCCTCACTGAACATGTAACGAGTAAAATATTACTGAAAATTGATTAGTAATGCCTTACACTACTGCGTTACAGCAAAAAGTAATATGTTACTGTAATGTATTACTTTCGTAATGCGTTACTCCCAACACTGAAACACACACAATCGTCTTTTCCTTAGGTACGGTGTCTGCCTAATTGGCACGAAGAGAGAAGAGAACAAGAGCATACTTCTGAACCCCGGCCCTCGCCACATCATGTCCGCCACGGATACCTGCTACTACATCAACATCACTAAGGAGGAGAACTCTGCGTTCATCTTCAAACAGGAGGAGAAGCACAGCAAAGGGCTGTCGGCCACCGGCGTGTATGACGCTCCCTCTCGTCTCCCGGTGCAAAGCATCATCGCAAGCATGGGTGAGGGAACACACCTGAACGTCATGTCACTAAGCTTTTCATAATCAAACTAAGGTGGAATTAGTCTGTAATGTCTGCGCCACTAGCACAACTGATTTAAACATTAATGGTGTTGTTATTGTTACATAACATCCGAAACAAATGAAGCACAAGTTTTTACATCAGTGCAGCCTCAGGGTTGGTTTAATGCGATTTCCATATGGTTAACATATGCCAGTTAGTGGTTTGAAATTAGCACTCAGAAGCAGTAGTAGCAGGGTGAATATATCAAAATATGCTCATGCTCATGATAAAATATACTTTCTTTTATTGTTTTTTCCTTTGTTGAAGTTGATCAGTCTGCTTCATATGGTAAGTCTGAGCATGTGGTTTTCATAGCATTAGTTAAATCCCAGTTAAGACATCATTGGTGGATGTCTGTGTAAATGTTAACATTTACAGAAAAACCTTTCTCTCCCGTTCATTCCCGTTAGGAATTCACAGGTCAAGTCTTTTGTCCTGCAAGCTAGTTTATTATAGAGAAGCATTTAGTCAATTATGTTTCTTCACAGGTTTTTTTTTTTTTATTTCTTTTTTTTAAACATTTTGCAGCAGAGCATTCTTCTACATAACAGCAGAATTTCCCTTCAGAACATTTTCTTCCCTTCACCATTTTTAAATTAAACCTCACTGTGCTTAAAGATTTTGGTTGCAAAGCACTGATTTGAAATGTGCAAATCAGTGTTTATTCATAAAAAGCAATTAATCAGGGTTGAGGTCAACTTCAGTGCTTTTAAGAAATGCTATAATTAAACATTCACATCAGCTATTCTGTATAGGCCAATTGTTCCTGTAATTTACTCAAATCTTTCAGTTGTTATTCAAGCGCTGGTGAAAATGAACTGGAATTGACCTAAATTCTGAGTCACGTTGGCTAAAATTGATGATATTTCTTTGGCAGTTTTCATTGCACTCAAATTTGCACAAAAGCAGCTGAGATATCAGATCAGACAATAGATTTGAGATATTTGGTTTCACCGGGTAAACACATCTATATGAATTTCCTCATGCTGCATCTTCCATGCTGCAAGCTGAGAAGGAAAACCTCCACTCTCATGGCTGATTTGTGTTGTATTGCAGGAACTGTGGCCATTGACCTGCAGAATCCAGATCCACCGGCTGACAGCAGTAAACTGGCTCTGCCCACGGAGAACGGAGCTGGGAGTCGGAGACCCAGCATTGCCCCTGTGCTGGAGATTGCGGATTCCTCTGCCATCCTGCCTTGTGATCTTCTCAGTGACCCTTCTGAAGATGAGACCAACCAGTCCGATGAGGAAGGAGCACCGGCCATAGAGTAAATAATGTTAAAAAAAAAGTACAAAATGAATGAGGTTTTTAAGGGGAACAGCAGGGATGTAGTGGAGGCTAAACGCACGTAAACGCCATTTACACACCTCACAATATTCGGAAATAGCGTTTACCCACCTCCAAAGTACGTTTTCCACCTCTCAATTGCGTTTATCCACCTCTACCTGTAGTTCCTAAGACATTTTAAATTAAGCTTATGTTGTTTTAGTTTCATATTGTTCATTATTATTACATTTCATAGGTTGTATAAGACGAACTCTTTTATATTGCGCTGCTTTTCTGTCAGTGTTGTTGACTATTTCTGACGGTAAGGTTGCGCTGTTGACGCTCGCGCAGCCTCTCGAGCAGAAATCTACACAAATGAGTGCAGCACACTCAGTTAACAACATCCTGCCTATAAAAACCTAAATGTAGAGTTTTTATATTTTTAACATGTGTTAAGCAACCTCATTTATTTTTCCTGAACACCATCGCGATTTAAAATGTGACGTTAATTTCCTAAATCAGGCTGTTTTTGTTCTGTTTCAGCAGCGAAAATAGTTCCAAACAAAAATCACAGCAGAACCATGAAACACTCAATCTGTTTTCATTACTGAATTATTCAGCATTTTGAACGAATCGATTGAGTCAAAGATTCAATGACCCATTCATAAACATCTGTCTCAATCTTGAATGAATCAGCCGTTTGAACGAATCGTTTGATTGAATCAATCAATGACTCACTCATTAAGATGGTCGCCTGCCACCACCTACTGGTGGTTTAGTGTGATAAATGTTTAAAAGTAGTATCATTCTTTCCAACGTTTCTTATATGTAAATTTTTATGACATTATTTTATGCAATTGTAATTTTCCAGTGTAAATGATTTAATTTGATCAGCCCCTAGGGTAACATCCCTATCCCAGTTTATTGATCAAATTTAGGAATTTAAAATGAAAGATTGAAGCATAGGCTACATTTAATAATATTGGTGGAGGGGATGCCCTTTAAAGGTGCAGATATTACAATATGGTGATTTAAATATATAAGCTGATTGAACACGGATGAGAATATTGTTTCAGAATAAATTAACACACACAAAATAAAAATAAATAATCCAGACGAACAACTTTTTTACTCGGACAAGTGAATGGCACATTTAATGGCAACTATTTTTGATCAATTTAATGCATCTTTACTGAATAAAACTATTAATTGAAGAAAAAAAATCTTAATGATCCCAATTACTTCTAATTATTTGCTTACTGTACTCTTTCTCTAGTGCGAATGTTGAATTACATTTAATAGCTTTCAGGAAGATCAGATGAACTTTAAACATATTAGTTGCCCTTGCTGCAGAATAATTACAGTGTTTGCTTATGTCAGTCATGTGCACTTTCCGCTCTTTCTCTCTCTCTCTCTCTCTCTCTCTCTCTCTCTCTCTCTCTCTCTCTCTCTCTCTCTCTCTCTCTCTCTCTCTCTCTCCACTTACTCTAAACCTACTCCTTAACACATCCCTCAAAGAAAACTTTCTGCATTTTTTATATTTTGTAAGATCCCTGCTGAATGTTCAGTGCACTCACAGTGCCCTCTACTGATCATTTACATGCCATGCTTTGAAAAAATAAAGCCTTTGCAGATTGATTGATGTCAGTCAGGGGTTCATGTACTGTAAATTCTGTGCACATTTAAACAGAAGAATTCGTTGCAAATTCACACTTAGACCTTTGACATTTTATATCCTTCTACTTTTCCAAGGTGTATTAAAGGCTACCCTCCAAACTCCCCTTACATTGGAAGCTCCCCAACTCTTTGCCATCTTCTGCAACAAAAGGCGCCATTTTGTTGTTTACGACTTGACAAGGTGAGTGTATAAATCTTAATTCACCCTGAAATACTGATATTCCGATTCAGTTTAATTCATTGTTATGACTCATGAGGTAGTTTAATTCTAAATCTTTTCATTTTACATAAATACATTTCACATACAATTTATTTATGTTTACTCCCTTTTCATTCTGGTTATATTCATTGATTGCAACATCTTGTGATGTATTCAGTTCCATATTATACTTATTTTCTTTACTTCACATTCTGTTTAAGGTATTTCAGGTCATAATTCATTTTATTCACTGTAAAAAAATATTGTTGGTTTAACTTAAAAAATGAAGTAACCTGGTTGCCATAAAATTTTAAGTTCATTTCATTTTAATGTATGGTGCAAAGATGTATCATTATTTAAACAAAAGGGTCAAATAAAATCAATCAATCAATCAATCAATTTAACTGGAAAAAAGTGAGTTAATACAATGAAGGAGATTGATTTAAGCATCAGAAACTCAAAATATTATTTTATCTGAACTAAATAAATTATTTAAGTTGATTTGACAAAAGAAAAAATGTTGTGATTACAGAACATGAAAATATATATTTTTTTACAGATATGGCATTTCACTTTTTAATTTTTCAAGTATTTCATGGCTTGTTTATTTATTAATGCTTTCATTTATTTTTACTTTTATTTATTTATCGCAACATAATAGTGTGTAACAATATTCTCTGTTTAAATATTCATATTTAAACCTATCAGTGCCATTATGTTCATTTCACTTAGCCTGCCTCAATGAGTCCCTCAATGAATTTAAATCTGATCCCTCTATATCATCATTTATTCCAGCCCATCATTTATTTAATTGTGTTTGATTCAGGGTTGTCGGCACAATAGTTTTGAAGATGCCAAGGCGTATGGTTTCAAGAACAAGTTGATTATCGTTTCGGCTGAGACAGCAGGAAACGGCTTGTACAACTTCATAGTGCCGCTGCGTGCCTATTACCGACCCCGGAAGGAGCTGAATCCCATTGTGTTGCTGTTGGATAACCCGTGAGTGAGCTTTTTCCCACCGCATGTTCCTGTTACTGTACTTCGATAGTCAGGCAGAAGCATTACCACTTGAAAATACTCCAGGCATATCGGCATAAAAACATATTTCACATTCTAAAGTGCATCATATTGAAATGAAAGCAATTGGCAGTTTACTGCCCATCTTAATATATTATCTTCCTCTCCAATACTAATACACTTTCAGAGGTGTTATTTTCTTTATGCTCCACACATTCCTCCTTTCAGTAATGCAAAATTGTGTACACATTGTAGATTCTTCCTCATAGTTTCCATGGCAACTTTGGAGATGTGTCAAAATCCTCTTTGCAATTACCTGTTTATACATTTTGCACAAGCTTTTTGTCAGTTAATACATTTTTATAGAGTTGTTTGCCAGTGCCAAACCTTTAAGAACTTCAAAACTGCAGCTGTGAGTGGATTAGCATTGTTAAAGTGCTCTTCCTCTCCATTTCCAGGCCTGATAATCATTTTCTTGAGGCCATCTGCTGTTTCCCTATGGTGTACTACATGGCTGGAACCATAGACAAGTAGGTCTTTAAACATTTCAGTAAACGTGCACATCCTGAAATGGGCTTTAGTCCAGTCTGAATGGTGGGTTTGTGCTGGTTTTCTGTCGTAGTTTGGATAACTTACTGCAGTGTGGCATCATCTACGCTGATAACCTGGTGGTGGTGGACAAGGAGAGCACTATGAGTGCAGAGGAAGACTACATGGCAGACGCTAAAACCATAGTCAATGTGCAAACCATGTTCAGGTATGAACATTAATAACTTATTATAACAGCTTATAAGAAAATGTCTGTTGTTTTTCAATAAGCTTATGTCTTTTTCTGCATCAGCTGGAAACATGATGGCATTGGGTACTAATTCATTTCCCCTGCTAAATGTCATTTTTTGTCTTTGTTCTGCTGTTATTGTGTCCTCTACTAGGTTGTTTCCTAGTCTCAGCATAATCACTGAGCTAACCCATCCTTCTAATATGAGATTCATGCAGTTTCGTGCCAAAGACTGCTACTCCCTGGCTCTCTCCAAACTTGAAAAGGTCTCATCTTAACTTTTTATTGGGGTCCAAACATCTAAGACGTGCTTTTGATTTCTTTATTTTAAATATTAAAGTTGAATTACAAAATTAATATGAATTTCAGGATGATTAAATTCAAGCTGCATGAGCTCCATTTTTGTTTGTGTAAAACCTCATATGATCTTGAAATAGAGCAGAAATAACAATAAATAATCTAAATTATTTTTATTTTTTAGATTTAAATTACATTTTGAGTCCCATATTTTCTAAGTGATCTCAGACTTTTGGACTAAGAATTTATCATTTTTCTTCCTTGCCAGTAGACAATTTAACTTCTCTAACCAGGCCTAACATAAGCATAATATAATTTAAAACTTGCAAAATACCTTTGTTTGAATTCTGCGAATTTATTATGTCATGTTCCATTAGGAATCTGTCAAGTAAGTATTAAGTATGATTTATTTGTGGTGATCGCATGCTAAGATAATACTTTGTCACAGATTTCCAGATGGTCTAAAAATCTGAGATCATCAGCGGTGGAAAGTTCAATCTTTTGTTTTCCCCCTTTCTCCAGATAGAGAGAGATAAAGGCTCTAATCTGGCATTCATGTTCCGCCTCCCATTCGCCGCAGGCAGAGTGTTCAGTATTAGTATGCTGGACACTCTTCTTTACCAGGTGAGAAATAGATCAGATGCAAATTCTGCTAATTCTGTGCAAAAGGCATTCTAATGATACATTACCATTCAAAAGTGTGGGGTCAGTACGAAATTAATGCTTTTATTCGGCAAGGACACATAAAAAATCGATCAAAAGTGCCTGTAAAGACATTTATAAAGTTATAAAATATTTCTATTTCAAATTAATTCTGTTCTTTTGAACTTTCTATTCATCAAATAAGCTGTTTTCAACATTGATATAAGAATAAATGTTCCTTCAACACCAAATCAGCATATCAGAATGATTTCGGAAGGATCATGCAACACTCTGTTTGTAGTTTTCCAGGAAAAAAAATACATTTCAAAATATTTTAAAATAGTTATTTTAAATATTTCACAATATTACTGTTTATTAGCCTACTGTATTTTTGCTCAAATATATATACGCAACCATGGTGTGCATAAGCCTTATATTTCAAAACCATTCTACCGACCCCAAACTTTTGAACTTTAGTGTGTGTTTTTATATATATATACTGTATATATATATATATATATATATATATATATATATATATAATAAAAAGTTAATAAACCCAAGTTTAGCTGAATGTTTCATTGCCCCTCTCACATTGAAATGTATAAAGTAAAAATGTAAAAGTATTAGTAATGATTACATGACTCTGTATATCGATCATGATTATTTTAATAGCTTTGCAATGTAAGCATCATAGAACATTAATTAATTTGGTATGTTTTGACCATAGAGGCCCAGAAAACAATTATGTATGAAATTTGATGAGCAATCAGTCATAAGCTATGTTCAAAAACACCCCCCTATACCCTCATTCACTATTCCCTACTTTACTCCAATAATATAGTTCATTTGAAGGAGTGAGTGAATTCGGACACTGAATGTGCTGTAAGGGCTGCCGCCTTTCACAGTTTGTTGCTGTTCAATAATCATTTGAAAATAAACTGGCAGCGCTCAGTAGTAATGAAATATTGAACTCTATCTTGGACAGAAGCATTTTTAAACCTTATTAAACAATTGAATAATCAAAAAGGAATTTATACCGTTACGGTAATAAAGGTGCTCTAAGCGACGTGACTTCTTGTTGACATTTAAAGTATTTTCAAACAAAACAGAGGCTAGATAGACCCTCCCTCCTCCTCATCTGCACTGACCCTCCAAACCCCACCCCCAGGGCCTTCTTGTCAGTTATTGGCTGGAACAGTTTGTTATGTTTCGTGGAGCTGGTTGCCGCAGTTTGTTTTTGTTGCCATTTTGTGGAAGCCTGGTTGACTGCGTTTTTTTACCGTGTGTTTAGGGGACAGGCAGCTAGCGGATAGTGAGGAGATGTTTGCTGTATGTGACAAACAATGTTTGGGCCTAAAAAACGGTGTGACATCACTTAGAGCACCTTTAAGATGTTGAAAATGGATGGATAGATGATTCAGCTGTGCGCGCCCTCTTCTGGTTAGACACGGGAATTCATTCAGCACAACCCTCACAGTGCATTATGAGTATTATAGCAGATGAGTGTACATCAGTTTATATCGCAGTTCATTTTTGTATCTCTGCACATTTGATACTCATGAAGGCTGATATCTTTCTGTGAGGCAGATAGAAGCAGAGTGGCATTTGCAGTAGGTTTTGCTCCCCTCAGGCATTGTGTCTCTATAGAGCCTTTATTGATTGTGTCAGTCTGGAGATCATCTGTGTGCTCTCTGGGGACTGTTTCTCTGTTTATATATCATTTCTGTTTATCTTTTAGTCTTTGTGAAGGACTACATGATTCTCATTGCAAGACTTCTGCTGGGTCTAGATACCACCCCGGGCTCTGGCTACCTGTGTGCTGTAAGTGTAACCGCAAACAAAAATGTACCCACACCCTCACCAAGCAGTCCATCGAGCATCAGTGCGTGATGTATTATGCAAAAGCCATTGTTTGAGTTAAAATGCACAAAGCTGGTTATTTGAACTTGCCCACCCACAAATCTGTTGGCGCTAACATGAGTGTTGATTTGAAACAGACGGTGTAAAAATAACATCACAAGGTTTAAAGGCAGATTAGTATGTGACATGATGGATGACTGACTCTCAATAAAACTCCCACGAAAAATGTTAAATTTCAGCCCAAAATCAGCTGAAATTTACTTTATATATATATATATATATATATTATATATATATTAGTATAAGCTGATAATTATATATATATATATATATATATAATATAATTATAATATATACTGTAGTATATATAGTATAAGCTAGGAATATTATTATATATATATACCTATATATATATATTTATATAATATATATATATACGTGTATATATATATATATTTATAAGTATTATTTATTTTTTAGCTTAGTTTAGTAAAATTTGACATGAATGTTAATCAGCTTTACCTTTCACTTTTGAAACAGATGAAGGGTATCGGAAGAGGATTTATGGATCCGGACGTATGGAAGACTATTCCAGAAGCTGTGTTCATCTAGTGCCAGAAACCCCATTGGGATATACCGCACTGAATCTCACATGTTCTCTTCCTCTGAGGTAAGATGAGATTAAGAGGAAGAGATCAGAGCATTCAGACGCAGATAAATACACTTCACACTCGCGTCCATGCCCTCCAGACGTCTCTTTGCCTTTACTTGATCTTGTGCAGTGTTGAAGATTTACAGCTTTATTTTGGGCAAAATCATGGCTTTGCTGGCTGTCTTATTAGCTGTGTTGTGACTTGAAGCTTGTGAAATCCTTGTGCTAATCATTTCTCATTTTGATCATTCACAACTATTGCTTTTTCAAGTATAAGGACGTTTATAAAGAGGTAAGAATGCAAACTTCACCCATTTTCTCAACCACATTCTCATATGTTAATGGAATTGTGCTATGTTTCAATGGC